TTAAACAGTTGTTAACAAATGTTTTGTGTGTGTGTGTGTGTTTTCATACACTATCTAAGGTGATTGGACGAGATATTACTATAGGTTGTGGGTATACTTCACATCTTTTACACTCTGTAAAGTGATTGGACGAGATATTACTATAGCTTATGGATATAACTTCACATCTTTTACACTCTGTAAGGTGATTGGACGAGATATTACTGTAGTTTGTGAGTATACTTCACATCTTTTACACTCTCTAAGATGATCGGACGAGATATTACTATAGTTTGTGGGTATACTTTACATCTTTTACACTCTCTAAGGTGATCGGACGAGATATTACTATAGTTTGTGGGTATACTTCACATCTTTTACACTCTCTAAGATGATCGGACGAGATATTACTATAGTTTGTGGGTATGTTTTACATCTTTTACACTCTCTAAAGTGATTGGACGAGATATTAGTATAGTTTGTGGGTATACTTCACATCTTTTACACTAAAAGATGTGAAGTATACCCACAAACTATAGTAATATCTCGTCCGATCACCTTAGAGACCTATTTCAACCTTTGAGAACTTTGAAATGAAATCAGCACTGCGTATAGAAAATGGGGAGATATCCAAAGTCTTCTCTAAACGATACAAAATAAGCCAAAAGAAGAGCCAATTAAATTATAGAAGATATTGTAACATTTTTCTTAGCTGATTATAAACTAAACTAAAATTAGAAAGTTGGGGAAGGGATGACACACGAAATATTAATACAATTAAAAAAGAATAACACTGAGAGGGATGATAAAAGTTTATAAAGGTAATTATTTTGAATTATATAAAAGAAGTTATATAAAGTAACGTGTTTCCTGCATCTTTGAAGCTTCTGTTTAAGTGGTTATATGTGCGAGTTAATATTTATACCTTTTTTTAAAACCCGAATTATGTGACTAGATAGACTTGCGCAGGGTTCCCGTAAGTGTTCTGTTTCAAGAGTAAATAAAACCAAAATTAAGAGTAACAAATATTTATATTTCTTGCCTTTGAAGTTCATATGTCATACTGCGTTGGAGCCTACAGACTGCATAACTGTTCTCGTGATTTATTTTACTGACATCACGAAAGGACAAATTGCAACGTTAAGCGTCTCATATATGACGTCATTTTAGTGTTTACTGATTGACAAACAACACTACTGTATAGTGGTGCGAGTGGTTAAAACAGGTGACCCCTCCAGGCGGCCTTCGGTCCCCATTTGTGGAAATGATTGTATTGTTCATATCAACCAAGTAGAGCGTATTTTTCTATGTTCCTTTTCATAAACAGAAACAATTACTTAAACAAAAAAACAGTAATTTAGTAATATGGTCGCTATCAAATCTTTATTTATAGATGACGCAGCCAAAACGTAATAGGATCATAGTAAGCATAAATCAAACCACCTAAAGAATCAATGGAGAAGACAAACCCATTTTACAATATCCTCTCTGAATGTTGATTCTACTATACTGTAGAAACAAACCGACCAACATGAGTTAGAACTCAGGAACATAATAGACACTCAAGACTCGGTAATGTTGATTTATCTAACATAACCCATCCTGCTAGAGAAGAATACCATAGATAAAATGGGATAATACAAAAACAGTAAGATATGAACTATACACAAGAGAAATAGATAACTAAAGAAGTATTCTACATTAACCTAACTGATAAAACACTCAGGAAACTTAGTATAAAAGTCATAAAACCTGGATACTCCTCTTGAAAACATCTAGGTAGTTAGTTGGTACAAGTCTTAATGGGTGAAACCCCAACAGAATAGGTAATGCATCTCATCTGATCCCCTTCAATACCACGCAGGATCGAATCTCGGCCATCACCGAACACAAACAGTCCTTCTCAGGACTTCCCTGAAGACAGCAGAAGGCTAGTAGCCGAAAATTAGGATAAAAACCAGTTAGTAATTAATATACATTTATATAGATAATTAGTTACTAATTAGTAATTAGTCTTAGATTAATATAGGCTACTAACCACTTTACAACGAGATGATGCATGTATGGTGTAACCATGTAGCATACCCCTTGTGCCTGAGTATTAACTGAAGTGAAACCACTTTGAAGGTTTGGAAAACAAATTACATGGTTAATTCTGTTCTATAGTGAAGTGAATGGAGAAATAAAGAAACAAAGATTTAGATTTGTCCGGTTGAATGGATTGAAATGTTACTTTATTCATTTAGGAAAAAAAAAACTGGATGCGAGATGGAGGTTTAAGCCCACAGTTTTAGCTCAATTTCTGGATAAACGCTTCTTATAAAGACATTCAACAGTAGAGTTATGAACACTGGCGGCGATGAGACATCATAATGTAATTGCAAATGTAAATCTTCTCAATATTAGACTTGACAAAATGTTTGGTCAATAATTTACTTTCAAAACTGATTCTAAAGTGTTCAGTTCTTGTTAGGGAAATTGAAAAGCGTTGGCAATGTTGTAAACACGACATACAAAACATTTGATTAGATTTTCTTTACAATGTGGTATAAGGCTATCGGAGTGTTAAGAAAGTCCTGTGTATGTTGATTTATGATGTACTCCAAAGTCAAACATTCTATGTTTATTGTACACGAGGATGTCCATAAAAGTTAAAGTTGGCATTGACAAGTAAAGTTTATGTTACCATGTTCACCATTCATAGAATGGACAAACTTCATCAGCTGGACTTCATCTTTAAACGCCATAAATAAGTCATCTACATAACGGCTATGAGTAAATGGTTTAAAGTGAGGAGGAATTTAACCATTTTTGTTCATAAAAACACATTACCCATGATAGGAACTAAACAAGAACCCGTGCTAACTCCGAACATGTTGTTTCTTCACAGAACTTTTCGTTAAATTCAAAAAATATTCTTTTGTTTCGAATTCGATTAATCTTGTAAATGTTTGTATATGTAACCCATTTATTAATTACTTTTGGTCAAATATTAATTCCAAACGTAAATCAATAATCTCGTCTAGAGGTATGTTTGTGAGAAAAGACTATTTAGTCTACCTTCAGGTATCTCACTACCAAATATCATATTAACCATTTTCTTTAAGAATTTAAAACTATCTTATAAGGTTTACTTGTTACAAATGAAATCCATTAAAAATGATTTAAGAATTTGGCTAAATTATAGTTGCAACAACCTGTATTAGACATTATTGGTTAAATACGACAACTAGATTTGTAAACATTTGGTTAACCGTTGAGAAAACATTAATTAGATCCAACTGGTTTAATATTGTTACAGGTACCGTTATCAATGATGATTTTTTAAAAATCTAACAAGCATCTAATTCATTCGTTATTTTTGCGATTGTATAACTTTGACCTTTCAATAAATATTTTTGCGATTGTATATCTTTGACCTTTCAATAAAGTTTCTTTTATCTAGAATCACAGTATTGTTACCTTTACCTGGATAAGTGATGACAATGTTTTTACTCGTGAAGTTATTTTCCTCACCATAACGTGAATTTTAATTTTAAAAAATGACGGAGAGATCTAATTTATTCATTAATTAGCTATTTTCGCTACAACAGACTAGTTTCGCCGTATTCACGGCTCATCGGTGCTACTTGTAGGAACGAAGCAAATAAATGAAAACGCCTCGTATAGTGGTAGAAGGTAAGCAAGTTGTTTGGTTTTGATATATAGTCCCTTACTCACCCCTAATAACCTAAAATACTTTAGGTTATTGGATAGTGTAACATACCATCAAAATTAATTCTATATTACAGAAACTTTGGTCTACTGTTGTTCTCGGTGTTTGTGGGAAATGATTATTATGGCTTTAATAGCAGATATCTTATAAACCGAAACTACTCCTGAACAAAACGTTTACAAGCAATGCCAGGTATTTGATAGTTTAAAATGTTTATAAAATTAGAATAATAACTATTCATAATATTTTTCGTGTCCTTAAATACATGTATTTAATATAGCTCGTATAGTGATTTCCTTGAACTTTTCTACGAGCAGATGATTTTTACCCCTGTGAAACATGCACTTCCGAATAGCATTGTTGTAATGCGGTGAACACATTATAAGATTCGAAACCGTCCGTTTGTTTCACGGCCAATAATAACGTAGAGCACCAAGTAATGGTGTTACTTTCCTGTAGTGAAATTCAGCTGGGTAATCAGATAACGTCACTTTGATAAAAAAATACAGGTCAGAAACCTATGAACCAAGACATGATTCTTTTATTTAGTTAGTTAGGAAATAGTGGCATTTTTATTTCCTCAAAATATTATTTATCACCTTGTCTAAGAACAAAATATGTTATTGAATCTGAAAAATAAAGTATTAATACTGACATACATCTGAAGAGTCTCTCTGTTCACACATATAAGCTGCGTGTTTATATGCTACTTCGTCTTCGTTGAAGTTCTATTCCAGCCAGCTTGAGACACATACAAACAACATGGTAAAATAACCTTTTAACTATGAAATATATGATAATTAACTTTCAGACGTTTATGTTTATCTCATATGACGTTTGAACAATGAGTGAAACAACTGTATTAGAATTTATCTTTTTCTAATCTATCAGAAATTAGAAGGAAAATACCTTTCTATTTTGATGGTAACGAGATTGATAGTATGCATTGAAAAAATTCTATAAGTCCTTCTGTTGGTTTAGAAACACTGGAATGTTACAATGTTCGAAGACAATCTTGACAAATTGCAATACCAGAGAAAAGGCACTTCAATACTATTTATCTACCGTGTCTTCTTAGAACAGAATATCATTCGCCTTGTCTTTGTGAACTATGAATTAATGTATATTTATATATTATTAAAATTATGTATCTTTCTCTCAACATTTGTAGCTTACAATTCTTGATGTTTGGACGACTATCGAACTTTATCTTAGGAATTTCATCACACTACAGTATGATATTAAGATATAATTGAAAACTTTCTTCGGCAGATCGCAAAGAGAGATTAAGAGCGCTGAAACTTACCTTCTTCCGCAGTTTATCAAAAGCAGAGTTTAAATTGAACATCCTTCTACGCTCCCTGATGTTGGCCGCTCGCCGCTGGGCCAGGGTCGCTAGTCGTCGCCGCGGCTTGGACTTCGTTACCTGAGAAGAGCTACCAAAGTGATCTCCTGGTGGACCTAGTCCACCACAGCTCGTGGGAGAACGAAATTGTGGTCCGAATCTTTGGATGGTCATCCCAGGTACTCTTGCTCCTGTGAATGCACAATGACTGCCAGCGAATCCAAAAGGACCAAAGTCGCAAGAGACTGGGTTCGTAGATGATGGAGTGTGGTATGGGGAAGTGAAGGTGGGACCGTCCCAAGGGATTGGAGCGTAACTATCTGTTCCGTCCGGAGTGACAGCTCCGGGACCTGTAGAACTGAAGTAAGTGATGCCGAAGTTCGCTGAAGAGTGGCCGGGTGGAGGCAACCTGAGCCCGTTAAATCCGAAGTCAGCGTAAGTTAGATCAACACCTGCGGCTGCGGCTGCAGCGACGGCTGTGTTTGTTAATTCCAGAAACGACGTAGCTGCTGCTACTGCGGAATTGGTTGCTCCGCATTCAGGTGTGCTAAACGTGGGGTCCGTGGCCGGGTTGGCGTGAAAACGATTGACACTATTTGAAGGGTTCAACGCGCTCGACATGGCATTCAATTCGGTGCGCGCACAAGCGTGTGTGTTTTCTCTCAAGACAACGTGCGCTCCCCACTAAGGTAACGGCTGGCAGCAAATCTCACGTGCAAAGTTGCTCAATGTAAATAATTAAGATATCAAGAAGTGGCTGTTTATATATGGCTAGTTGCACCATGACAGGAATGAACGTCACAAAAGTTGCCGCACGAAGAACTCCCAGTTGATGTTCACTAATAGTTGTATTAATGTCTGAGGCGAATGCTGGGGGGAGGGGGCAATAGGAGGAAAAAGGGGAGGCTCAGATCAACACTAACAGGCCGTACCTAACACGCCTACCGTGTAATATGCCCGATTTCATGCTGCATCGCTTTTAGCCTGCAAGGTGACGCTCGTGCACGTCATTTACCGGGTGCACCGGCTGTTCTTAAGCTGCATACACCCTCCACCAATCACAAGTCTTACAGATGTGACGTCGGTCGATTTTCGGAGTTGCCAATTCTTGCTGGTTCTCATTATTATTAAACATAAAACAGCCGTTGCATCACAAAAAAAAAACTTGACATTTTAAGTACGTATTGACCATACGATTTATGTCAGTAGATAGTAACTAATTTCGAAGTTAACCACAAAATGTTTCCTATCTAAGTGTGAGACTCCATAACACCTACAATTTATCACATCTCTGTTGTAAAGAAGAGAAACAAGAAAACATTCTAACGAAGAATCTAAACAAATCAACAAAGCAGAAAGGAACACTCAGTTTATTGACACTCTAGAGAAATAATCATAACCAAACATCTAAGAAAGTACCAAAATATTAATCAACAACAGTGTCTGAAGTGATTCTGATAATAATAATTAATTTGTATATATATATATATATATCCCAAAAACATCACTCACGATTTAAAAACAAATCACAATTCGACAAAAATATTTGATGCACGTGAAATTTTGGAAGAAAGAAGAAAAAAATGAAGACACACAAGAAGGTAAACATAAAAGATAAATATTCAAACTAAGCAAATAAAAGTGATTAAGGCAGATCGTGAAACTAATCGAAGGAAACTGGAAAGGACGAGAGAACTAATAGGGTGCGGCCATAAAAGATAAATATTCAAACTAAGCAAATAAAAGTGATTAAGGCACATCGTGAAACTAATCGAAGGAAACTGGAAAGGACGAGGGAACTAAGAGGGTGCGGCAGAACCACCGAGTTTGATGTGATTCCTAACACACACACACACACAGGGGGTTTGTACATAAAATTAGTTAAATATCCCAAGTTTATGAAAATGTTCAATGATCAGTTACGATGGATGCTAGGACTAATTGAGTAAGATAATCGAAGTAAAGAAGTTATCAAAGCATAAAACCAGTTAAGGATTTGATATTTATATATATATATATTAGTAAGAAAACAGTGCATATGTATATCTTAACATCTTAAGTTAAGAAACGTTAATGAATAATTCTGTGGAAATCTGTAATAACGAAATCTAAGCATTAAGATGATGTTTTACAGAGGAATTATTAAAAACCAACAACAAAGGTCCTCTAATTACCAAAAGGTTAATTTCTCGTCCTTGTTTAATGTCAGCCTTACATCCCGATTTAGTTAGCGGAAATGCTAAATTTCCTGATCACGTCATTCATAATTTCGCTACGCTAAATACCAATGCCAACTTTTCTATTAAATATTCCTTAATTCAAAATTTTTGTAATACGTCTATCCGACAAATCACTAATTAAAGAAACGTAATTAAATATTAATAATTGAGGGAAAGATATCAAAAATTACTACAAATGCTGTAAGAAAAAAACACCTTAACGTTTCGGCCGTACAATTTCCATCGTCTCATTTTTTAAGAGGTAACTGTATTCTTTTTATTAGTTTTATGACGAGGGCTTATATTAGGCTTAACTTCGATTGTGTTCCATTCATTGTGTTTTTCATTTACGTGAAAAATTAAAGATTTTTTTTGGCACCGTATCAAATTCCTGCCCCAACCCATCAACTACCCTGTCCGCGGGTATTTCAAATGTTATTATTTTCCATGTTCATGTTCCTAAAATACAGCTCCCTTGTTGAAAAAGATAAAATATTTTTCAGCCTTATTGTATCAACTGGTACACTTAGATGTTACTGGAATTGTATTTGTGTTTTGTTCTTTTTTACTCTGGAATGAAAATGGTGTAATAAAGAGCAATTGATCTTATATAATTCACAGATTTCATTATGACGAGAAACCCAGTTGAAGTAAGAATTTATAGCAGAGACGGCTGGTATGGTATTAAAAACTTTAATTAAAATAAAGTATAGGAACAACGTTTCAACCTTCCTAGGTCATCTTCAGGTTAACAAAGACTGTTTGAAACTGACCGGTCA